GAGGCAGGACCCGCACGGCCTGGCGGAGGCCACAGGTGTGCAGACGGAGCACGCAGGGGGAATTGACCGGATTCAGGCTATCACTCACCAATGTGGTCGTGCATTCAGGCCACATCTAGAGATGGTGGGGGGCTTGGGAAACCCCCTCTTGCTTTGGCAAAGCACCCTGAGCATTGCTAGTGAACAGTTTGGAATGAGAGCGATAGAGCCACTTCCAGGCTGGGCGGACTAGGGAAGGCACCTCCCCACTCTAAGTCTCAATATTCCGTTCTTCAGAATGGGGGTGTCCATTCATCTGTTCCAGGGGTTGTTGTTAAGAGGAGAGATGATAACCCTGGTGCCACATTTAACAGTCTGGCACGGTGGCGTTCCGTGCCGGTTACTGTTATTACCATTACAGCACAGGTGGGAGGGGGCATTCTGAACAATGCCAGGGCCTTCATTTAAACTAGCATCAGGAGAAAACTAGCACTAGAGAAAATGTCTTCCTAAAATGCTGGGCCTCCTTGGGTGGTTTTCACAACACTCATTCAGCTGAAAATCACGCCTTCATAAAAAATAAGTAAAGCAGAAGCCATCCTGGCTCCAATGACTTGTCACCCATTTAGATTCAAGTCCTAAGTCCTACAGTGGCCTTGCAAGTGCCACATGATCTGGTGCTAGCTCCCCCTCTGATATCCTCTCTCATTCCCCCCTCACTTACTTCACTCCAGCCACAGGCACGCTTTGCTGTTCCGAAACATGCTCGATGCGAGCCCACCGTGGTCTGTGCACGTGCAGTTCCCTCTGACCGGCATGCTCTTTGCCCGACATCTTCCTGTTTTGCTTCCTCACTTCCTTCTGTTGTTTGCTTAAATTCCATTTCCTGAAATAGGGCCATTTCTGACACCTACAGTTACACCTGCCATTGGTCCCTGCTCCCTTATTCTGCACCATTTTTCTTCACTGGACTTATTGCCCAATAAGATGTTCAGATGGCTTCTATGCATAATTGTTTATTTCTCTATTGCCTTATTTCCACACTATAGGTTTTGCTCTATTCAACTTATTATGCCTAAAAAAGAGTCTGTTCTCAGTAGATGCTTAATAAATGCCTATTGAATGAAAGAAGTGCTTCCTCCTAGAAATACTCCGTTCTCTTGTTTCCTAGTTCTGTCCCTGCTTCTTTTTCTTCTTTTAATCCTCATCCAAGGACATGCTTAGAGAGAGAAAGAAGGGAGGGAGGGAGGGAGGGAGGGAGGGAGAAATCGAAGTGAGAGAGACATGATTGTCCTCTGCACATGCTCTGACTGGGGATCATACCCACAACCCTGGTATGTGCCCTGATTGGGAATCAAACTGGCAACCTTTTGTTGCATAGGATGATGTTCAACCATCTGAGCCCCTCCAGCCGGGCTCTCCCTGCTTCTTCAGATATTCCTTCTTAGTCACCTTTACTGGGTAACCCTCTTCTAACGCTTCTCAATGCTGTGTTCCTCAGGGCTCCATCTTGGATCCTTTCTCCCACCCCCTCTTTACCCTCACCCTACATGACCTCATCATTTTTACAACTTTACCATCTTTATATGGCTTACTTCCAAAATCTATCTTTAGCCCAGAACTCCAGACACAGATAGCCACTGGACTGTATAATAGGTATTTCAAAATTAGCATGTTCATAAGTGAATTCTGTACTCCCTCCCCCTACTCCTGCTATGCACACCGAATGAAAACCTGCAACCCCCCAGAATTCCTGAACAGGAAGATTGATCTGGCTGAAACGAGGGGAAACTTCTGTTTATGGAGGACTTTATTTAAGGAAGACTGAAAAAAAGTCAGTCTTATCAAAGGAGAGGAGCAGGTCGATGGTATGTATCACTGGGAATGCTGGACATTCTTTTTCGCTAGCACTGTCCTCCCTCGTCCAGTCCTCACTCTCTTAGAAAACGGCACCACTGGCCACTGAGTCACTAAAACCAAAACCCTAGGATTCCTGCTTTTTCTCACATCTACCTCCAATCCATCAGCATCTTCTGTTTTTCCACAAAGCACAATTTGAAGCCACCCTCTTCTCTCCTCGACTGCTTCTTCTCTGTTTGGTCACCATCATCTCTCCCTGGAATTCCAAAGGAGCCTCCTACCTCATGTCCCCATGTCCGTTCATGCAGCTTTGAAACTATAGCCTCAAGATTGATCTTCTTAAACTGTGAACCATATCACGTGTTTTTTAAAAAAAAACCTTAAATGACCACCCACGTACTTAGAATGATACCTAAGCCCCTGACACTGCCACGCCCAAAGACCTGCTGACCACTCCAACCTCAGCACGTATCATTCTCCACTGACTGGACACAAACCAGTCTCTGCCTGTTCTCAGGACACACCAGACTCTTTACTGTTTCAGTCCTTAACATATGCTCTTCTTTCATTTCTTCTCATGACTAGCTCCATTTAAAATGAATTTATTCAGCAGCCTGAAACCACTAATAACAGGTCAAAATATATGAAACAATGTTTTCAGACATCGGGAATGAGGTAACAGAGGTGAAGAATCCCTGAAAACACACACACACACAAATAAACAATGGTGAGCCCAGCGATTGCCCCAGGTTGCTACCTGAAGACAGTATCCAGAAGGCAGCATTAAGAGGGATAAGTTAGCAAGCCTAAGTTTTTCTGGCATGAGGAAGTAGAGTTGGGTGTCTAGTGGCCAGCGTTGGCAGGGTATGATGCCAAAAGAGAGAAAGCAGCACAAAGAAAAAGCTCTGGACACCAACGGTGGCTCTTCCCTGAACCTCCAGCTGAATATATGGTAAGAAAACCTGAAAGGGTTAGAAGGAACAATCCCTGAAACTCACCCAGGGCTATCAATATTAGTATTTTTTTCTCCATCAGCCAAAGTAGGAACATCTCCAAACTCACAGGTTGTCAGGCACAGTACCCAGAAAGGTGCTATATCAGCAGAGGAGAATGTTAGTCCTAAAGGTTGCTCTGATTCCAAAGAATAAAGCATAAAAGCTAGCCAAAAAAGAAGGAAAATCTAGATTCAGACTGTTTCTAGATAACATAACTCTGTCACAGAACCAAGCACAAGAATACTAAGGAGAGGACAAAAATATGCAGCATTCAACACGGTAAATTTTATTTTGGTCACCCAATCAAATAGTACCAAGCCTGTAAAAAAGCTGGACAATATACAACCCATAATAAGGAGAAAAATTAATCAGTAGAAACAGACCCAGAAATTATAAAGATGGTGGAAAGAGTAGACAAGAACATTAAATAATTATAACTATACTCCATATTACAACTATGTTATATACTATTCTAACCATGTTAAAGTAGAGGAAATATAAACCATTTAAGTAAAAATATGAAAGATATAAAAAGGCTCAAATGAAATTCAAGAGATGAAAATTGAATGATCTGATACAAAAAATACACTAGATGGGATTAATAGAGATGGCAGAAAGATTAGTAAACATGAAAAAGAGCTATAGAAACTGTAAAATGAAACAGAGAAAAGAGCCTGAAGGAAAAAATAAACAGAACATCAGTAAACTGTGGGCAACTTCAAGCAGCCTAAGGGGGTGATGAGACTCGGTTGGTGATGGTTTCATAGTTGCACATGTACGTTAAGCCTTATGAAATTGTATGCTTTAGATATATTCAATTTATACTTCAATTGTGTCACAACACTCTTATAAGGAAGCAATGTGGAACTAAAACAACATTGGAAATGGAAGTGGGGTGGTGGACAAGTGGGTTTGTGGGAGGCTGAACAGCACCAGGTGTTAGACCTCAGCGGAGTTCAGCAACCTCAGTAGTTGAGTTTTGGCTAAGAAAGAATTCAGAGACAAGACTCAAACTATAAGAGCAAGTTTATATAAACCACAGAGGTAGAAGTGATCCATAGAAGAAATGGGCTCAGGCAACAAGTAACAGAGCCAAAAAAAAAGGCCCTTGGAGCTTTAGAGAGAGAGAGAGACAAGGAAAAGGCCTCTGGGAGAAGGGGGTCGGGAAAGGCCAGGATGTGCTCCATAGAAAGAGCTGCACTTTGTCCCTGAACCCAGGGCTTTCATCTGGAGGCCTCGGGGAGAACCCCAATAGAGCATTCATGAGCTTCCCTGGTGTGCCCCCCCTTGTGGTCTACTGATCAGTCAGCACCAGAAGGTCATTAGTCAATGCAGCTGGTCCTGATGTCAGCCCTGTGTCACTCCATCTGATTTTGCTGCTTCTCTGGGCTCGGAGCTGAAACACAGCTGAAGCCTACATGTCATCTTCCAGGGGTTAATTCATAGGGGAGTGGTCCTGCAAGGGCTTGTAGTTTTGCACACAGGGCTCTCCAACCCGGTGAACCTCTGCACCTGGCCTAAGGTTCCTACTCCGCTCAGACCTAACTGCCTGCTGCAGGTTGGGAGACCAAGTGTGGGAAGCAATCGTTTGCTAAGCTGCTTATCTATTTGGGAAGAGTGGGGTATAGATACATCTTAACTGCATAGCTTGTTATAAAAATGTCTTAAAACAAGTATCTTAAAAATGTATGCATAGCCACTGACTGAAGCAAACTAGGCTGTATTACTTGAAACCAGTGGAATCGTTCAGCAGGGTAACTAAATACACAAAATTAACAGTAAAATCACTACCTTCTCTACACCCCAGCAGTAACCAATTAGAAAATATAATGGAAACAAGAAAGTTTTCATAGTTGTATACTATGAAAAACTAAGAGCAAATATATTTTAGGGACAAAACTAGAAAAACAAAAACAAAAAACGAACCAGATTTTTATGAGGAAGTCTATAAAACTTTATTCAAGGACATTATTTTAAATCTCAATCTCTTATTGTGTTTCCTCCCTAACACTTACTAAAAACTGTATTAAAAAAAACACACATTATCTTTGCAACAATAATAGACATTACTTAAGGTGAAAAAGAAAACAATATTGGTTTTGTCATCTTCCCCCTTTATATTGTAAAATTTCTCCTTTTTTTTTCTTGTATCTCTTTGTGTGTGTGTGTGTGTGTATCCTTCCCAGAGGTACTGCAATACTGGGTGGATGCGTCAAGTGGACAGAGCAGGCTCCTATTCCACCTTCCTGCTCCAAAAATCCATTTAATATATTGTCCTTGGAAAGAGGACGCAGCAGACATTAAGCTGTAAGAACAGATCCACTTGATCTCAGCCAAAAGGCGGAGAAGCGATACACTGTGAGTTTCTTGGGGGCAAAGATGTTGGTTGTAAGGGTCCTCACTCACTCCGCCCCCTACAGGTACCTTCCACAGGGCTTGGCACCGTTGGCCCTGATAGTCGCAAAACATGGGGGACTAGAGCACTCGCTGGTCCTCTCTCCCTCGCTGCCGGGTTCCATGTTACGCAATAATGCCCAGACACTGCTCCAGGCCTTCCCCGTGACAACACGCTGCCACCACGCCGCCAGCTCACCTCAGCCAATCAGGATGCTTCACACCCGCGCCCGCGCCCCGCCCCCACCGCCGCTCGCGGAGGGATCTGACGTTTTTGCCACCAGCGTGGCCCATGCGGCTGCGCGCTGCGCCCTGATTGGCTGAGAGCTGTGGCGCCGGGCGCGCAGGCGCAGCCTCGGTTACTAAGGGCGGGAGCCCGGCGAGGGCGCCGGTGGCTGGTGCTGTCTCAGGTCCCTCGAAGCCTGGCCGCGTTCGCCATGCCGAACCGCAAGGCCACCCGGAATGCCTACTACTTCTTCGTGCAGGAAAAGATCCCTGAACTGCGGCGGCGAGGCCTGCCGGTGGCTCGCGTGGCGGACGCCATCCCCCACTGCTCTGCTGATTGGGCGGTAAGGCTGGAGGGGTCAGCGGGCAGGGCAGTTGGGCAAGCCGGAGGGCAGGGCCGGAGGACGAGGCCGGAGGGAAGGAAGCCTCAAGGAGGACAACGACCCTGGGCCAGGGGGAGGGAAACCCCCTACGCCCGCCCGGGCAAACGGACGCCTGAACCGCAGCCCCTCGAAGTCCAGGCATCCGCCTGCGGGGCCCGGGCGCTCGGGCCTCACCGCTGTTTCTCTTCGTGTCTTCCCTGCACTGCCCCCCAGCTCCTGAGCCAGGACGAAAAGGAGAAGTACGCAGACATGGCTCGAGCATGGAGAGCCGCCCAGGGAAAGGACTCGGGACCTCCAGAGAAGCAGGTAAAGGCCGCCTGCGATGAGCAGCTACCTGCCTGGCATCCGGGCCCGTTGAGAAGGTGCTGGATGAGTGAACCGGGGCATGTCAGGGCAGATGGCGGGGTGTTGGGAGGAGAAGGTTTTAATTTTCCTCCCTGGTGGCAGAATGCCTGTCATTAACCCAGCAGGCTGCCCTGCCAGGGCACAGGTTGGTATCCTTTGGCAGCGAAGACCAGGGGAATCCCATGAGTGAACCTGCAGCCAGTGAACCCTGTGGCGTTCAGGGCCTGTATCACCGGACCTCCGAGGGTCCCTTTCCACCCTTTCATGGCTAAAGAACGCTTTTTCAGGTATTTTAAAGTAGTTCGGGCCAGTATCTCTTTTTAAATGAACCAGGCCAGCTGCCCTGTGTAAAATACTGACATAAGGAGACTTTCAGGAGTTGGCAAATGTTTCATGCCGTACAGGTAAGCATTGGAGACAGTGAATTTGGTGAATTTCTGTGTAAGCAGAACGTAAAAATACCAAGTAAGATTGTTTTCTTGGTTTAGATCAAAGTGCCAGGTAATTGCGTTTTCCACTCCTGTGTTCTTTCCATTCTTACATAGTGAAGTTCCACTCTTCCTCTCAACTGCCAATGTTGGATTGAAACTCCAGAGAGCTTTGCTATGTTTTAGGTTTTTGAGATTTCCTAGTTGGGGGATTTATGTTAGGGTAGAAGCTCTAATCACTTCAATTTGTACTTATTTATACTTGCAAACCTTGATTTCCCCCCCATTCTTTTTACTACAGTGTGTGATGTTTCCCATCAGAAAGTAAGCTGTATTGTCTATACACTCCATTAACACTTGGAGTCAGCATGTTTTTTATTTTTTTTGAAAAGCAAACAGTATTAGAGTATTTTTTGAATGATGTCCCTTTGGCCGCTGGACTGGCACATTTTATGACTCAGTAGGAATAGTTTAGATTATCAGTAATGGACAAGTAGTTTTCAGCAATGATTGAATTTAAGTTATTTACCACTCACTTTTGATTCGGGATATTTTTATCATTGTCTGCCTTTCCCTTTGTTGTCATTGACAAGCGTGTATGTATTTACCCATTGGCCTGGAGTGGTTACTGAAGTAATCTGTGGACTGTTTTCCAGCTATTTTGCCAAATTTAAGTTTGTGCTTTAAAGTGCCAAGCAAGAGTAAGTATGTGGTCAATCATTCTCTTCCTCTTTAGAAACCTGTTTGCACCCCACTGAGGAAGCCAGGCATGCTTGTGCCGAAGCAGAATGTTTCGCCACCGGATATATCAAGCTTGTCTCTAAAAAATGATCAAGGTAGAGTAATTCTAACATGTTTCATTTAGTTAAATTTGGGTGCTCAAGACACTGTAATATGTTTTCAGTAAGTTCATGTTCTGTTTATTTTGAACCTGCATTTCAAAGTAATCAATTACAGGTGTTCACGAATGTTGGCACTAACATGGTAAGAGATCATGTAATTTGTTGAAGTAACACTGGAGAGTTTTGTTTTACAAAAATCTGTTCTCTTGGTTTCTACCAGTTCATGTGTTATCAAACATACTTTATGGATTAGTGTTAATAGCTAGACACTTAAGAAAATAGGGACTTACGCACATTTGTGTTATAAAGGTAAAGCTGAATTATTGATCTAGCCCAGAAAAGAATATAGCTAATAAGAGTCCTTGCCATTCCCTTCTGGCTTATTTTTTTTATATATTTATTTTTATTGATTTCAGAGAGGAAGAGAATGAGATAGAAACATCATTGATGAGTGAGAATCATTAGTTGGCTGCCCCCAACTTGTCCCACAGTGGGGGTGGGGCAGGTGCCCTGACCGGAAACTGAACTGTGACCTTCTGCTCCGCAGGTTGAAGCTCAACCACTGGTGTGGCTGTTTTAACTGTGATCTGACTTTGCTGAAGATTCATAAACTTACAACAGTCTTATCAGTCCTGATAATAAGACTGCCTTAAGATAATGTATAGATGGTCTTATATATATTGGTAACCAGAAAAGGGTGAACTAAATTGTCCATAGTTTATATCAGTTTTTCTACACTAATTCGGACTCATTTCCTAAATTCTTAGACTTGTTGATTATGGGTCATTTCTGATATCCAGGGCTTATGTTTTGTTAAATTATATAGAGTCGGCTGCAAGTTTGAATTGTCTTGTTGCTTCTAGCAGACCAGTTACTGCTTTAACATATGATAAGTGCTATTGGAAAACTTTTGACTCATTTATCCTGTATGGCTGATTTGTTCTCTTTCCCATCTCTTTTCAGAATATAGGAACAAAAGGAAAATGGCTCTAGAGTTTTGCTTTTGTATAAGGATAGATTCGAGATGCTCATCTGTTCATGTTGTCTGTGATTTTTTCTTCTTCTTTTTTTTAGCTCTCCTTGGAGGCATTTTTTATTTTTTGAACATTTTTAGCCACGGCGAGCTGCCTCCTCACTGTGAACAGCGCTTTCTCCCTTGTGAAATAGGCTGTGTGAAATATTCTCTCCAAGACGGTATCATAGAGGACTTCCACAGTTTCATCACTCCTGGTGAGTAGCCAGATGGAACAGGCTAATATCTTTAAAAGTATGGGTTTTATCTTGAACTCATTTGATACACTATTTGTTTTCTTAAAAGCTGATGTCCATCTGAGTGCTTAAACTGTAACAAGACTTCATAATACTTGGTTGAAAAACTGTTAAGAATTAGGTGTTGACACAGGTTTTTGGTTTAGGCTTTTAACTTCAGGTAAGCATCAGTTGGATGGATGGAATGCCTGGAACCTGCTCTGTGCTCACCTGCTCTGCGCTCACCTGCTGCTCTAAATTCGCCTGCTGGGGAATTTTCTAAAAGCTTTTTATACTGTGGCTCCTCTCAAGGGTTTCTTTCCACCATCCTTCACTGCAGCTGTCACCAGTTTATAACTATTTATTGCTTTGTAACTTTGAGCAAAGTCCTTAACCATCCTGAAGCTAATAGAGAGCTGCTCTAAGGAATGGTGAGAAAGTGTGGAAAGAGCCTCATAGTTGCAGGCTCTCAGATGTTCTTAGTATCTCTTCTCACTGTTCTACCTCATCAAAGCAGTTCATTACAAAGGCATGGGATTTGGTTTGGTTCTCAAGAGGATAGACCTGTGGTTCCCAACCTTTTATTGACCACATTCCACCTAAGCATCTCTCAAATCCTGAAGTTCCCCCCTCCCCTGTGACATAGAATTTTAATTATTCAAAAGGTGAACTCCTATTTACATGGAGGAAGCCTAAAAGGCCATTAATAACTTGGTCTAAACAAGCTTCCAAAGAACATGGCATCCGTGAAAGAGAAAAAGAAAAGAATGAAGAGACAGTTGAAGTACTGAGGAAGAAATCACTAAGAAATTGTTAAATAAATAAATAATATGAAGTGATATGAAGAAATAACAAATAAAGTTTTAAAACATATAATGGAGAACTGAAATACATAACTATGTCACCTTCTATATCTATATACTTTATATGAAGACCCTAGAACCATAAGGAATGCAAAATTTATTTGTTGATAACTCATTCTTGAATTGCCCCCCCCCCAAAATCAAATTGCCCCCTGTGGGGCGTGTGCCCCACATTGGGAACCACTGAGATAGGGGACACTGTACCTTTAAAGGTAAGCAGGAGAAATACAACTTCTTCGTATAGAGAAGTGTAAAGGAGAGGTCGGGGAAAGAACTTCCTGGGTTTTGTCAGTTGCTTTTAAGTTCATTAAGATGCCCAGCACGTTTTCTTGTTTCTGGATGACAGAAAAGCGAATCCTGCTCATACTGAGAGCTGCTCCCCAGGACAAGCCAAATCACTACTTTCTTATATGATTGCAAATCATGAGGAAACTAGAGCTTGGAGACCTTTCCTCAGAGAACCTAAACTGTCAAGGGCCTCAGGAACCCCTGAGGCCCATTCCTAAACCCTGAGCTCAGACCCTTTAGCACAAGTGTTCTTTCTAAAGAAATACATGTTTTTATTGATTTTAGAGAGAGAGGAAAGGGAGAGGAGGAGAGAAAGATTGATTGGCTGCCTCCCACATGCACCCCAAAGTGGGATCAAGCCTGGAACCTGGGCATGTGCCCTGACTGGGAATCAAACCAGTCACCTTCCCGTTAACGGGGTGACACTCAACCAACTGAGCCATACTGGCCAGGGCCAAGTGTTATTACCTAAGGTTTCTTTCTTGGTCAGGAATAATTTGCTTTTTAAAGTAGCTTGACACAAATACAAAAAATTTTGATAGTCATGCCTTTGATTTAAAAACGCATGATGAGCCGAAGCCGGTTTGGCTCAGTGGTAGAGTGTCGGTCTGCGGACAGAGAAGTCCCAGGTTCGATTCCAGCCAAGGGCATGTACATTGGTTGCGGGCACATCCCCGGTAGGGGGTGTGCAAGAGGCAGCTGGTCGATGTTTCTGTCTCATCGACGTTTCTAGCTCTCTATCTCTCCCTTCCTCTCTGTGAAAAATCAATAATATATATTATAAATGAATAAAATAAATAAATAAAAGTAAAAACACGATGAAATCGGTTTTCTATCTTGTATTTTCACATAGCAGTAACAGTTACCCACCTATCTTATGATGTGTTTGTCCTGTGGAATATTATTGCTGTAGGATAACAAAAGAGCTGCCAGATCTCTGCTCCTCTCAGCAAAATGTTTTGTATTACAGGTGAAATTCCACGAGGATTTCGGTTTCATTGTCAGGCTGCAAGTAAGTATAAAAGAGAGGGGTACATGAATGTGTGTGTGTACCTGGTTAAGACTTACTGCTTTTACCAGACACATGAAATGTCCGTTGAAAAATAACCCTAAGATAGTTGTTGGAGACTCTTCATAGAAGTGGTAGATGTATATATGATCCTTAAAAACTTTAAAATTATATACACTCTGTAGTATAATGCCTCTTTTCCATTATGGGGGTTGTGTTTTTATTGTCTGCACATAGCCTTTGGCTTTGGCATTGGCTGCTTTTACTGGCCAGATATATAGGTAAGTCTTTTAGGGGAGGTATCAGATTATCTAGGTTTATGGGAATTTATGGGGTGACTTTTCAGAGTCAAGAAAAAAGATGATGCTTCAAAAATGACAGAATGACAGTGTTAAACATAAAAGGAGCTCTGAATTAAATTTAGATGAGGAAATCAGGTTCTTATTTTCAAATTTTCAGCAGCCAAATGACATGACTGTATATACCTCAGCTCTTGAACTAAACTCTTCTAGAAACTAGATTTTAACCAGGTTCCTGTTTGATTAGAATGAAAATTGTGATAATAGATTTATTTTAAAATTTATATTTGAAAGTTTAAAATTGGAAAATGTTTTTCTAATCAGCTATTTTATAATACTTATAAAGGTAAATGAGTGTATTATATTCACTTTTGGTTGTGTCCTTTGAGATTTTCAATAACAATATGATATGAATACTAAAACACAAATGGAGCAGAATGAAATACCAAAAATGCTTGTGTGTGTACAGGTGGCACTGCATGTCTGAGAGTAAATTGATTATTCAGTAATGGGGCTGAGATAACTGATTATCCACATGGTATAGGGTGAGGGGGAAATAAACCGAATCTCTACCTCACACCATAAACAAGTCAATTCCAGGTGGAGTAAAAGACTAGTTATAAAAATAAAACTTTATCAGAAAGTTTTATTCATAACCTTTGTACATTCATGTTAAAGGTAGAGATTAATTTACCTGATTTTGTTATTTAAGGTTATTCTGTAGTCTTAGGAATGTGTTTTCAATCTTTGAATTCACATTTGGTTCTTGTTAATGGTTCTGCTAAAATTATTTTTTTATTTCCTGATTATAATAAACCTCATTATTTTAATGTCTTATGTCTGATAACCCTGATATAGAGCTTTTTATTTTTATTTTTGGGTCTATTAAAATTAAAGTCTGTTGGTTACCTTGATGTTCAAGTTATATCTCTTCATGTGTCTGGTTATTTTTTATTGAGTGCTGGACAGTATGTATCATGTTTTGTTTTGTTTTCTCCCCAAAGAGGATGTTGCTTCTGTCCCAAGGCTGGCCTTGATCTGATGGCCTTAATCCAATTTCAGAGTTAAAACTGGGTTCAGACCTTATGAGAGTCTATTTCTAGTTGATCTTTACTAAAAAAGGGGGAAGGTGGACAGATTAATATCCTAAGATCATCAGTAAAATTTATAATTACTTTACAGCATGAACAATGGAAGCCAGAAGATAATTGAATATTTTTATTACAAACTAGAGGCCCGATGCATGGAATTTGTGCAAGGGGCTCTGCCCTTGCAGCCTCAGCTGGCCTTTGCAGCCCCAGCTTTGTTGGAAAGGGAAAGGTCATTTGGATGGTTGTTCGATTGTCTGGTCTAATTAGCATATTAGCTCTTTATTATATAGGATACTTTATAAACACAGTAACACTGGAGTATTACTTTTAATTCTTACTAGCTCTGGGTCTGTCAACAACTCAGTTTCCCATCCTTTGACCCTCCTCTTCCAGAATCAGTAAATGCCAAGTTACCAGGTTCAGCTCTAGGATTTCTTCTCCTGAGGCTGTCAGCCCGTCTTTCCTTACCACATTTGTACCTCTCAGGGCCTTCAAGCAGGTGTCTTAGTGGTTTAGCTTTCCCCCTCTTTACTGTTTTCAGAAGTTGAACTCCGGTATCCTTTTCGTAGTTTCCAGTTTTATGCTGAATTTGTAATTTGATCTCAGATATAAACATGGTGGTTTAAAAATCTGTCCAATCACTTCAGAATCTGGGTTATTTGGGGTCTCTTTCTACCACTCTGTTTTGGTTCTGATTCTTGTATCTTTGTGTACTTGGTCATTTGTATAAAGTGTTTAAAAATGATTTTGAAGTAATTTGAGGCTTATAATGATGTTCCTTTTCTTCGAAGAGGATTTCTGTTTGGTTTTTCTAGACACCTGGGGCCTCACTAGCTCGCCAAGCCCCAAAGCACTTCCCACCAGTCACCTCCCTCTTCTGGAATTGACACACGACTTGGGGGGCCAGCGCCCCGCAGCGAGGCTCTGCTCTGGGGTCTGTTCACTTCCACCTCCTCTGGTAATTCCTTGCCGCTGATGTGTCTCTTAGCACTTTGCATTTTTGTGGCAAGGTTGGTCTGAGTTAACTTGTCCATTTTTTTTTGCTGGAAATGGAACTCTTCTTACAACTTTGAAAACGTGGTCATTATTGTTAAATTCTGAGGCCTTATTAATGAACAGATTAATGAAATAGTGAAGACCCTGAGGTTCAGTCACTTCACAAACCTGGGTTTCAGTTCTCACTCCACTGCCAACTGTTAACACAGCTGTGCCCCCTTGTCCACAGGGGACCTGTCTGAACGCCCTGAGGATGTCCTACACCCTATGGCACTGTGTTCTTCTCTACAAACCTGGGATAAAGTGTAATGTCAGTTAGGCACACTAAGAAATTAATAACAGTAATAATAGACAAGTTATGTGAATGTGTCTATCTCAGAATATCTTATTGTACTGGCTTAGCCTTCTTCATGATTTTTTTCTTTGCATTTCATGGATAGAAGATTCATTCTTAGGATCTTGGCAACCTTAGCATATAATTGTTTTTCTTATATAGTCAGGAATTTGCACCTTTTCACATAAGGGAAGCCTTTCCGGCTTCTCTGTGGCAGATCCAAGTTGCAGCGCCACTGCCCTTGTGCTCTGGGCTGTTCTTAAGTGAATAGGGACGTGACCACAGACACTGTGGCCCTGGGACCATCGAGCTGCTAACTTGGACTACTGAGTGAGAAGAGGGAGCTGACGTCTACAGCGTGGAGACCCAGGACAAAGGGGTGGCTTCCATCCTGGGAGGAACAGAGAGGGACATTGTGATTTTCATAACACTATTCAGAATGGTGTTTAGTTTAAAGCTTAAAGAATTGTTATTTAGGGATTGTTCAATGAAATATTTTCAGATCACAGTTGAAGCAGGTAACAAACTGCGGAAAACAAACCGGGTAAGGGGCGCTGTGGTGCTTTCGTCTGTGACTGCAGCTTCCCTCCTCTGTGTACCCCCTACCTGATAAGGTGACGGTAAGACCAAGTCCCTAAGCTAACCAGCTTGGTTCAGTGCTCATCAGGAAGCACCCACGGCTCTTCCTTTCTTCCTACTTTCATACCTGCTTCATAACATTTGTCTTAGTCGAGTTTTGAACTCCGGCCTTCTCTTTATTTCCTTCAGGTGATTCTAGTCACAAAATTCCTATTTCAAACTTTGAATCTGGATGTGACCAAGCAACTGTGCTGCAAAACCTTTACAGGTTCATTCATCCAAACCCAGGGAAGTGGCCACCCATCTACTGTAAGGTAAAGTCTGCGGGAGCATTTCTGTAAGGCATGCCTTAGGCAACCAAGGTCCACGGAAGGTCCCAGAGAAAGACCCTTTGCCTGTGTGTTAGCTGCGTGTGTTAGCTGCATGTGTTAGCTGCATGTGTTAGCTGCATGTGTTAGCTGCGTGTGTGACTGTGTGTGTGGTAGTTGTGTGTGTGTATTAGCTGTGTGTGACAGCTGTGTGGGTGACTCACTGTGTGTGTGGCTGTGTGTATGTGAGCTGTGTGTGTGAGCTGTGTGTATGTGAGCTGTGTATGTGTTAGCTGTGTGTGACTCACTATGTGTGTGTTAGCTGTGTGTGACTCACTATGTGTGTGTTAGCTGTGTGTTTCACTGTGTGTGTATGAATGTGTGTGTATGTGAGCTGTGTTAGCTGTGTGTGTGTGTGTGAGCTGTGTATGTGTGAGCTGTGTGTGACTCTGTGTGTGAATCACTGTGTGTGAGTTGTGTGTGTAAGCTGTGTGATTTCACTGATGTGAGCTGTGTGTGTGTGAGTTGTGTGGTGTGTATGAGAGAGCTGTGTGGTGTTAGCTGTGTGTGTAACTCACTGTGTGTGTATTAGTATGTGTGTGTTAGCTGTTTGTGACTCACTGTATGTGTGTTAGCTGTATGTGTAACTCACTATGTGTGTTAGCTGTGTGTGTGTGTGTGTGAGCTATGTATGTTAGCTGTGTGTGACTGTGTTTGCTGTGTGAGCTGTGTGTGACTCAACTGTGTGTGTGAGTCACTGTGTGTGTGTTAGCTGTGTATGTGATTCATTGTGTGTGTGTGTGTGTGAGCTGTGTTTGTTAGCTGTGTGTGACTCACTGTGACGTGAGCTGTATGTGTGTTAGCTGTGTGTGTGACTCACTGTGTGTGTGACCCCCTGTGTGTGTGTTAGCTGTGTGTGTGACTCATTGTGTGTGTGTATGTTAGCTGTGTCTGACCCCCTGTGTGTGTGTTAGCTGTGTGTGTGACTCACTGTGTGTGTTATCTGTGTCTGACCCTCTGTGTGTGTGTTAGCTGTGTGTGTGTGCTGTGTGTGTGTGTTAGCTGTGTCTGACCCCCTGTGTGTGTGTTAGCTGTGTGTGTGACTCACTGTGTGTGTGTGACCCCCTGTATGTGTGACTCACTGTGTGTGTGTGTGTGTGTGACTCACTGTGTGTGTTAGCTGTGTGTGACTCACTGTGTGTGACTCACTGAGTCATTTTCGGTGTGATGCCTTTTCTTCTAAATTTCTCTTGTACTATAGGCTGCTTTGATCTCGTTTTTAGTTCCTCCTTCTCCTGAAATCCCTTCAACATCCTTTTACCCTAAAGAGTGGGTGTTTTAGTCCACAGACCCATCCGTCTAAACAAGATTACCGTTTATTTAAAACTGTCCTGCAGCAATCTTTTGACACTCTTTCTTATTCTCTAGAGTTCATTTGTTCATTGCTGGGTCTAAATTCTTCTAGGCTAGGAGCTGAAGAATTGGCTTTTAACCTTACTATTTACTAGCATAACTATGAATAGATTATCTTTTTCTGAACATTGGGGTCTTTATTTCTCTACCCTAAGTCTCACTAGCTTTTCATAAAATATTTTGTGAATATAGCTGGTTATTAATAGTAGTGGTCTTTTCTGATACATGTTGCTCTTTGCTATAGTTCTCATCTAGTTGACACAGACTCTCCAGTCCCTCCCTTCCCACCACCCTCTTCTGTTCACCCTCTCCGCCAAGAGGAGAGCATTAATAAAAAGTAACTCGGGCAGGAGAAATGTCAAGTCGTTTGTTCTCTCCTGCAGTCTGATGACAGAGCCAGAGTCAACTGGTGTCTGAAGCACATGGAGAAGGGGTCAGGTGAGCAGCCCTGAGCCCCTGTTCCAGGGCAGTGGTATCTGGGTTTGTTTCCATTTTGGTGTAGTGCTCTCCGTACTTGAAGTCACTAATCCTGTCTGTCTTTCTGTTCACCAATGAAAGAAATCAGGCAAAATCTGGAGCTTCTCACTGTGGAGGATCTTGTAGTGGGGATCTACCAGCAAAAGTTCCTCAAGGAGCCCTCCAAGACCTGGGTTCGCAGCCTCCTCGACGTGGCCATGTGGGATTATTCTAGCAACACAAGGTATTCAGTGGTTTCGTGATAGTGAATTTGATTTCTTTCCTGAACAGAAAAAAATATGGTAGGATTAGTTTTTGCCTTTCTAGGTCATATTTTCCTATCAAACCCTGGAATCCTTGAATATAAGATTCCATTGATACATTGTTACTTTGTCTACTAAAAACAACCCAAAACTGCCAATTAAAGTGACAATACTTCCACTTAGAATTTCTATAGTGATAAAAGTGTCTATTTATTTTACAACAAACATATAAATATGTAAGTGAAATATATCAGCAGAAGTATTTTTTTTTCTTTGAAGTAATTTCAGGTTTAGAGAAAAGGTGCAAGAATAATACAAAGATGTCATATATGCCATTTTCGCAGATTCACTCAACGTTGTAGTGCGTTTCCTTTATAACTGTCTCTAGCACTGAGAGTTGATTGTGGTCATGATGCCTTTATACCCTCAGTAGGAAAGTGTTTTTCATTTCTAGGTTTTACCCCAGCGTGATGGTCAGAGTGGGGGGTTGCCTGGCCCAGGACTGCCTCCCAGAGGCCACGCTCACGTTTTGCTGGTTGGTTCAATAATGTCTTTTTCAGCAAAACAACAATAACAACATCTAGTCTAGGGTTCATTCCAGGATCCCGGGTTGCGTTTAGTTACTGTGTCTCCTGAGGCTCCTTCCATTGGGATGGTCCCTCTCTGTGACTTCCATGAGTTGGCATGTGGAGGGGGCAGCCAGTGACGGGGTAAGTCACATGCTCACTTGGAGTCGCCTGCATTTCCTCGTTAGACCGAGGCCATGTGTTTGAGGAACAGCACAGAGGCTGTCTCCCATCGTCTCCCATCAGGAGGCACGTGTTTGCCCAGGGACCGATGGCACTGCTGATCACCTGTTAAGACAGTGTCCTCCAGAGTGCTCCACTGAAGTGATGGCTTTTCCCCCTTATAATGTTTTGTGGGGGAGACAGATTCTGTGCCTGAAATCGTTGGTTTTAGCATCTGTGAATGATTTTCACCTGAAACTGTTACTGCTGTGATTGTGAAATAGTGATTTTTCTAATCCCATTGTCCAGTGGAGGATGCATCTGTAATGTACTTCATGAGAGTGGACTCATGGACTCCACTTTATTCGGGCTGTAATGTTCCTGTGATCCTGGTAACTCACTCTCATGGCCAGGGCATCCCTTCGAAGTAGGGTCCTGGCTGGCCATCTGTGCTGCTTTGCTTTCTGGCCCCTGTGGGCCTGGCTTACCCCGCAGCATGCCCTGCAGCGGCTTGTTTGGTGTTTCTGGAGCCCCGGTGCCTGCCACCAGGACAGGAATGGGAACAGCTCTGAGTGCTAGGGGTGCTCCTTCTCCTGGAGCACACTGCCTGGGCGTGTCCGTGCACACAACCTCTGCACATGTGTAAGGTAGCTCACTCATCTCTCACCATGAGTTTGTACTAACCCTGCAGCTGCAGTCCTCCAGCATGGGGTTCCTGGTTGCCACCTTCTGCTTTTGCATTTCTTTCTTTCTTTCTTATTTTTTTAAAAAGATATATATATTTTATTGACTTTTTACAGAGAGGAAGAGAGAGGGATAGAGAGTTAGAAACATCGATGAGAGAGAATCATTGATCAGCTGCCTCTTGCACAACCCCCACTGGGGATGTGCCTGCAACCAAGGCACATGCCTTTGACTGGATTCGAACCCAGGATCTTTCAGTCCGCAGGCCGACGCTCTATCCAAACCAGTTTTGGCTGCTTTTGCATTTTCCTTCTCTGCGAGAGAGCCTGGCTCGGGGTCTGTGTGTTCATGCCTAGGGCATGTTAGCAGTGGCCCAGGATTGGTCAGTGACCCCGTCAGGAGATAGGCACCCTGACTGGGGTTTTTCCAGCTGTTTTTCAGTCTGAAGGTAATAGAAAGTAGTTTGTTCAAAAGTTATTTGGGTTTTTTCTTCCCTATCAGAGTGGTTAAATTACTCATTTGAAATATAGTTAAGTCTATTTGCTAGTTTTATTCCATTTCTGTTTTCTCACATTTTTGTTTTATGTTTTGAAAGGGTAGTGCACTAGCATGCTTCAAACAAAAATGTGTATTCAGAAGTATCACTCCCTTCAGTCTAGTTCCATTTAAAAAAGCTCCTTGAATTGCATTAAATGTATAAATTAACTTAGGAGAATGAAGTCTTTATAAAGTTAAGTTCCATCCAAAGAACAAGAGGTGTCTTTTGATGAAATTGGTTCAACTCTTTTTTGGGGGTCTTTCCAGTCTGTTTTAGCGCCTTTCTTGCGCAGGCCATGCGTGCTGGGAGGAGGGCCTGCTTCTGGAGAAACGAGCTCTGTCGGGCTTGCTGACTGTCCTGGGGCCAGCTGTGGCCGTCGGGCCTTCCCTGGGGATGGCACTGTGTACACAGGTCACTTACAAGTGGTAGTTTCTCATAGTTTTTAACAGTTTTCACTCAGCAGATGCTTGCTGAGCGAGTGCGTGTGAACCATGGGCACTGTGTGTCTGCAGCGCTCGTGTGAGTTCAAGGTAAGATTGTCCTGTTGTGGTTTGTAGCGTCATGAGTTTGCATCAGAGGAGGTAACATAAAAAGATCTGTTTTTTAAAAATCTTTTTGTGTTAAATTAGGAACCTTAAACTTTCATATTAAGTAATAGTGTCAATTTTCCTTGAATGATATCAATGAGGTAAATTAGAAGTCTGGCATGCAAAAACCCTTAAGTGGTGCTTTCTCATGAGATCAGGAGATTAAAGTCCTTTTTTATACAGGTGCAAGTGGCATGAGGAAAATGACATTCTCTTCTGCGCTCTGGCTGTCTGCAAGAAGATTGCGTAAGTTGGAGAAAGAAGGCTCCTCTCCCGCGGGGCCGCCATGGAAGCCTTGGTGTTGGGCTGGCCTGGTGGCTGCTTTTGGGGAGAAGGCTGTTTGCCTCTATTTCCACGATTTTTTTTTTCAAAGCAAAGTGGGTTTTTCCTTTCTGTTTCTTTTATTCACCCCTCGTCCCTACTTGTCTGGCATAGTTACCACCTGAGCGATTGGGGCAAACCTTCATCAGCACTTACGGAGTCTTCCTCCGAGGCTCCTGCAGGAGGAAGTCCTGCGGCCACGAGGGCAGTGCTCCCTTGTGAAGGTGCAGGAAACAGACCCACTTTTCCTTCTTAGCTCTGGGGTCTCTGGGGGCCCTTCCACACTGACATAGGTGGATCTGAGGAGAGATGAGCGTTTTCAAATTGCAGCCTTGTTTCTGGTGCCCTCTCCTTGCCTTATTTGAGAATTCTAGTGATTTTATCCTCATTCGTATTCTCTTATAATGAACCTGAAATGTTATCTGATAATCAGAATATTAAGGTTTAAAAATGGTGAAAATACTTAAAAATATTAGTAGTGGCCAGTTTTATATATGTTGCTACCATTCCTGTTCCTTTTCAGAATTGCTGGATTTCTTTTTGCCAGTTTAGAGCAATGTCCCTGCCAGCCAGGTTTTATGGGAGAAACTAGAGGCCCGGTGCACAAATTTGTGCACCAGTGGGGTCCTGCATCCTGGCCTGTGGGATCAGGCTGAAACCGGCTCCCCAACACCCCCTGAGTGGTCCCAGATTGCAAGAGGGCACAGGCCAGGCCAAGGGACCCCACTGGTGCACGATCAGGGCCGAGGAGAGATGTGGGAGGTTGGCCAGCTGGGAGTGATCGTGGGAGTGCTCCAAGGGCATATCTGGCCCTTCTAGCTCAGTCCCAACTGACCAGACCCCTGCAGCAAGCTAACCTACAGGTTGGAGCGTTTGCCCCCTATAGTTGTTGAGTGGCCTTAGCATATCATTAGCATATTATGCTTTGATTGGTTGAGTAGCCGACTGGACAACTGGGCACTTAGCATATTAGGCTTTTACTATATAGGACTAGAGGCCCAGTACATGAATTTGTGCACTGGTGCGGGTCCCTCAGCCTTGCCTGCACCCTCTTGCAATCTGGGATCCCTCGGGGGGATGTTGGACTGCCAGTTTCTGCTTGATCCCCACAGGCCTAGGGGCAAAACTGGCAGTCTGACATCCCCTACAAGATGAGTAGTGCGGTAAGTGGCAGGTGGCTGGGAGGAGCCTCGCCCCGCTGTGCCTGCCTCTGCTGCCTCCACTTGGTAGCGCACTTGCCTCGAAGGCAGGAGAGGCTTGCTCCCCAGCCATGAGCTCAGTGTCTGGTGCCTATCAGCTGAGCAATGTTCCCACTGTGGGAGCGCACTGACCACCAGGGGGCAGCTCCTACATTGAGCGTTTGCCCCCTGGTGGTCAGTGCACGTCATAGCCACCAGTCAAATAGTCGTTTGGTCATTTAGTCACTTAGGGCAGGCTTTTTTTTTTTTTAATTAATTTTTTTACAGAAAGGAAGGGAGAGAGCGAGAGAGCCAGAAACGTCGATAAGAGAGAAACACTGACCAGCTGCCTCTTGCACACCCCCTACCGGGGATGTGCCCCGCAACCAATGTACATGCCCCTGACCGGAATCAAACCTGGGACCCTTCAGTCCGCAGACTAATGCTCTACCACTGAACCAGGCCGGTTTCGGCTAGGCTTTTATATATAGAGACTAGAGGCCCGGTGCACAAAATTCATGCATGGGGGTGGTCCCTCAGTCTGGTCTGTACCCTCTCCAATCTGGGATTCCTCTAGCAATCCAGAACCACTGGCTCCTAAGTGTTTACCCACCTGCCTACCTGATGCCCCTAACTGCTCCCCTGTTGTCCTGATCCCTCTGTCTATCTGCTGTTCCCTCTTGGCCTGATCCCCCCTAACTGCCTATCTGCTCTCCCCTCCTGGCCTGATCCCCTTCACTGCCTAACTGCTCTTCCCTGCTGGCCTGATCCACCTAATTGCTCTCCCCTTTTGGCCTGTTCCCACTAACAGAGAACTGCTCCACATGCCATGCTCCTATCCGCTGTCCCCTCCTGGCCTAAACGCCCTAACTGCCCATCTGCTCTCCCTTCCTCTCTACACCTTCAGATCCTGGTGCAGGAGTGCTGAGAACTCTCTGCCTAGGCCCGCACTCCTCCTGACACCCCCCCTCTAGGCCAGGCGGCACAGCAGACCTGCATGCACCTCTGCTGGGGGCATCACTACGGCCCATCCTGATGCCCCATTCCAGGCCAGCGTGGTGGCAGGCCTGCGAGTGCCTCCACCTCCCCCTCCGAGGCAGCCTTAGCTTGATGCTAGTGCTGGGACCTGCTTGTGCCTCCACTGGGGGCGGAAGTCCCCGCCCCCATCCCCGCCCACCAGCTCTGTGCTGCGCAGCCTGTTGACTGGTGGGGACACTGTTAGGACCAATTAGCATAATACCTCTTTTTTTATATATATATTTTATTGATTTTCCACAGAGGAAGGGAGAGGGACAGAGAGCTAGAAATGTCGATGAGAGAAACATCGACCAGCTGCCTCCTGCACACCCCCTACCGGGGATGTGCCCACAACCAATGTACATGCCCTTGACTGGAATTGAACCTGGGACCAACGCTCTATCCACTGAGCCAAACCGGTTTCGGCAGCATAATACCTCTTTATTAAACAGATGTTTGAAGGGTGAGTGCTTGCAAGGGGGCTGGGCAAAGCCTAGTGCTGACCTTTCCCTCCCTCTGAAGGTACTGCATCAGCAACTCCCTGGCCACACTCTTTGGGATCCAGCTCACAGAGGCCCACGTGCCCCTGCAGGATTATGAGGCCAGCAGCAGGGTGACACCCAAGATGGTCATATTGGATGCAGGGCGGTACCAGGTAAGGGCTGGCTGTGGAGCGCCTGTCTCTTCTGTGTCCTCCTCCGTGTGGTCCTGGCCAGCAGCTGGTCAGGCCTTTGGGTCTCCCTCCCATTAAAGTTCCTAAAATCTCCATGGCGTGTGGAGCAGTTCTCCTCAGGTGGCTCCTGCACAAACCCTTTGCCTTCCTGGTACATTTTCCACTCTCACCGATAATGTGTTAAGAAAATGAAAATTACACACACCACATCCAAACATGTATTCCAAACTTACATATCTGAATGCAGGTAATACACTAGTAGCTATTTAAAATCTTTACTTCAGAGATGTCTATGCTGGAATCAGGGTTGATTACAGGCTGTCTAACCTCCCTGCCCCCTCTGCATCCTTGCTCACATGGAGGCCGGCTCGGCTGGAGCACAGCTGTCAGGACTGTGGCTGGGATTCCCCTTCCGTTCCAGGCTGTGCTCCCTGCAGGCCCAGTTCCCTCCAAACAAGCCCGTCCACAGCACTTCTCTTTAAAAGGTGGTCAGACATTGGGGAAATGGAGGTTGGTTGTCTTTTTTAAACAGTAATTTTAAATTGTAGTAGATGCAACAGTTGATAAGAAATAGGTAACTCCTCACTCCCCCCACCCCCAACTCCTGCTGGATTTTTTTCTTTCTGTTTTTTATAGAAGCTAAGGTTTGAGAACTCAGGATTCTCTCATTTCAACTATTCTAATCAGGAACCAAGATCAAACACACCCACTGGTAAGCATCTTGTATTTGATGGGAATGTCCACCGGAGGGCTCGGGCTCAGGGTTGTCAGAGCCGGGCTGTGGTCGCAGCTGGTGGAGCGGGAGTTGCAGTGGCCCCGGGCACCGGGGCGGTTGGGATGGTGTGCTCGTGTCACTCAGGCTTGTTCAGGGCACTCAGAAGAAAGCCCGCTGTGCCGTGGCAGCCGTGGTTTTCTGGCTTTGAGAGGACGGCGGGAAAGATAAACACCTTTAAAGTAGGCGGTGCCGGAGAGCTTTCGTCTCGGTTCTCAGGGCTGAAAACAAGCGGTGGCTGCTGAGCCTCTGCCTCCACTGGGCTCTCGGCACCCGGCCCCAGGCCAGGGAGCACTGCAGTGCCGCGGCGGGGCTCGTGTGACAAACTGTACAGTGGCTTTTCTTCTTGCGTTTCACTGTCTCAGGTGACTACCCTTCGGGGGTGAAGATTTCCGGCCCGAACAGCAGTGTGCGGGGAAGAGGGATCACGCGCCTGCTGGAGCGCATCTCGGGCGCCTCCAGCTGTGAGGCCGCGCTCTCCCCGTCCCTGTCCCCGAAGGGCGGCTACAAGCCCTTCTCCTCCCTGTCTTAATGATGTGCTTCAGCTCTGAACCAATAGCCAGCCCTCCCCCGATTGCAGCCCGGACAGCAGAGCACGTCCCTGGTACATGCACCCTCTGAAACGGCCTGCCTTGTACAGAAATTCTGTTTTATAGAGTAAAAGTAATTGTGGTTGGAGAAGATTTTGGCATTTTTGCTTTTTTCTCAAGGGCTTGCTCTGCTTCCTGACTGTAACAGGAACGCCCTGGAAGGTTCACTCCCAGGACCATCCTGCCCTTTCAGAGGAGTGCTTTGTGGTCATCTCCTCCTCCACAGCCAGGCATCGGATTTCTGTATGAGAGGTGTTAAGATAGTGTTGCTGTGTTTTTCCCCCTTATGACGTGTAGAACCTTTCTCTTGAGACCTGCTGGCTATTTTCATTGCAAATATCTAAAAAAAAATTGTCTTTAATAAAAACAGTTTTGTTACTTAAAGTCTCTGAAACATGCTGACTTTGGCAAAAAGAATCATTTGAAGGAGGAGAAGCCAAGATGGGATTATGTAATCCCCGAATCACAGGACCAGAGGGTGACCGAAGGCCAGGCCCACTGGACATGAGCAATCCTCACCGCGTGGTGACTCAGCCCCTCCCGTTCTCTCAGACAGACTTTTGCATATTTCCTGGTTACGTCACTGACTTTTTCTTCTGTAAACCTGATATAATACTTCCATAAATGCAAAGAAAGAAGTAATGGAGAGCTTAAGGAGAAATAGACAAATTATCATCAAGCCGAAAGATTTAAACTAAGTCTTTTATTGATAAGCATACTAAAAATCGGTAAATAAATAGAATGCCTGAAAATTGAAATTAACAAATTTGAACCAATTAGGTCACTATAGTCATTTCAAACATGCATGGAAAATATATATAATCTTTAAATGGTAATGTGCCAAACCATAAAAAAAGATTTAATATATTTCAAGGAATTGACGAGCCATGTTCTTTCTCTACATTCAGTTATTAATGTTATTTTAAAATAAAATTTTAAACCCTATTTATATGTAAGTCATAATGAAATAAAAAATGAACATCATAAAATGATAATAAAAATTTCTGTAGAACAATTGAATAATAAATACTACATAACACTTTAGGAACATGAAGGGAAAACCACAGCTTTAAATAGTAATGTTGGACAAAAAAAAAACAAAAACGCATCAAATATACATTTTAGGAAGTTAGAAAAAGTTGGAAACTAATATATTTCATGCCAACTACAAAAAAACACACCAGTTTTTAACACATTATGGACAGATCACGAGAATTTTCACATCACACAATTTATAAAATATCATACTTTAAAAAGATTAGCTTGTAAGAACATGTAATAACTTCAAAATGCAATGGGTATTTAATGCTAAAGCATGCCTTTAACATTTATGTGAAATGTTTTTTGTACTCATTCAATAGAAATTTATGTGGCCACTGGGTAAAGCTAGCAATAAAACTACTGATCTGCAATGTGTTAAGTTAGAAAAAGAACAATAAACCCATGAAAAATGGAAGGAAGGAGAAAATGAGTAAACATCAAATAGAAAAGGGAAAAAAGTAGGGTTCCACAAAGCCTAAGCTGTGATAGATAAAAATTCCAATGAGATGAACCAAGCAAAGAGAAGGCACAACCACGGCGCCTGGGTCTGGGTGCATGTGGGAGGCAACCTATCAATGTTTCTCCTCCTCACTCTCTTCCACTCTCTAAAAATCTACAGGAAAAATGTCCTCTGGTGAGGATTTTTTTTAAAAACAGCACAGACTAGACCCCGTGGAGATTAAAGAAATGAAATAATTCTATGAACACTCATACCAGTAAATGTGAAAATAACTGGAGACAAATTCCTAGAACATATTATGTGGTAGGAGTGCCTCGAGAAGAAATGAAAGCCTGCATCTTCAGTAACATAAATTGAGCATTAATTTTAACATCCTTTTGACACTTGGTTTAAAGGTGAATTCTAAACTTACAGGGATTATATCATTCCAGTATATAAAAATATGTAACAGGTTGTGTCCCAATTGGATTTATTGAGGAGAGCAAGAGTGATTTAGAAAAATGTATAAATGTCATTTGTCACAATAAAGAAAAAATGTGTTAGTAGAAGCCTTTGACAAAATTCTACACTCATTTGTGATAAAAACCAAACTAGAAATAGAAGGAGCTTTTTTTGCCTGATGAAAGGAATCTATAAAAACTCTACACAAATATTCTCCACGGGGAACTTAAAAAGTGTTTCCTTTAAAACCAGGAACAAGACAGAAACGCCCTCTGTGGCTGTTGGCACTCAGCACTACTGGAGTTCTAGCAAGGACAATATACGAAAGTAAATCAAAGGTTTAGGAAGGAATAAAATTGTTGCTTTTCACAGATATTGTCTGCACAAAAGCTCAAAAAAATCTATAGGTAATAAGTAGAAATAAGATTTGGCTGTAAGATCAATTTAAAATCAAATGCATGTCTATTATCATCAATAAATGGTTTAGAAAACAATTTTAAAAAATAACCCAGCATTTAGAGTAGCAAAAACTTGAGGTACCAAGGAATAAATCTGATGAAAAATTAAAAGGCCTATATGCAGAAAATTACATAACTTAGTGAACAAAGACCCAAATAGATTCCTATAATATAAAGATTTATTAAAAAGATTTTAATTCTCCCTGGATTGATCTGTAGATAAACAATTTCAATTAAAATGCCAAGTTTTTGTGGTACTTGGCAAGGTAATTATTATATATCGATAGAAAGAATAAAGGCACGGAAAAGCCAGGTTTCTGGAAGGATAATGTGGTCAGGGGGTGGGACTTGCCCCCAACAGCATCCGTTCATTCTAAAGCCCACAGTGATAGTGAAGGCGAAAGAAACTGAGGAAGAACAGACAAACTATCAAATGGGACAATCAAAAGACTCGGGCATTCCTGGGCCTGTGACACATGGTAGGTGACGTTTCAGACCAATGGGACTATTGAGAAAATTGTCCAATAACCATTTATAAATGCATAAAGGGGAAGAACTGAAATTGGAACCCTTCTCCACATTTTCACAAAAAGCCATTCCACTTGGTTTAAGGATTTAAATGTGAAAAGGAAGCTTCTTAAAAATTTTAGAAGAATTTTGGTGTCTTGTTTTCCTTAAAGTAGGGGTGGGGAATGTCCGGCCCATGAGCCATATAAGGCCAATAAAACGATTTGGTCTGGCCCTGTGACAGCATCAGGAGTGAGCTAATTGACCAGATATAACAGGCTGCTTTTAAAGATAATTTAAATCCTGAGGTCATTAGGATTTTTTGAACACTTAATACAAAAATAATGCACTACCAAAGAAACTTGACACATGACTACGTTAATTTTAGAACTTGTGTTCATTAAAAAACAAAACAAGTACAGTGAATAAATGAGCCACAACCGGGAGACTCAACCACAGAATCGGGTGCATTGCCCCTGGGAATCAGCAGTGAACACAGAATCGATGTGCCAAGTATTATATTTAAAGGAACAGTAGAGAGCAAATGTTAATAGAGGCCTTTTGGAGAGCCAGGCAATAAATAGTGAAAGTTTCTTTAGCTCAAATTATATTTTAACAGTTGCATTTCTACCAGTTGATATGGGAAGACCCTAGTGAAGAGCTCCTGCGACTCTTGTATTTCGGAAAAGAAAGCAGGGGTTCTGGGTGCTGTTCGGTGAGTTCGATGCCTGCCCGCTGCTGAGCTGCAGTGTCCCCGCACTTACCTTTAAGGAAGGGGAGGAGGGGGATGGTTTCGGCCAAGGGCCATTTGGGTATTTATAACATCCATGGGCCTTATAAAATTATCCTTTTTAAATATTATATATTTTATTGATTTTTTTACAGAGAGGAAGGGAGAGAGAGAGTTAGAAATGTGGATCAGCTGCCTCCTGCATACCCCCCAATGGGGATGTGCCCACAACAAGGTACATGCTCTTGACTGGAATTGAACCTGGGAGCTTTCAGTCTTCAGGCTGATGCTCTATCCACTGAGCCAAACCAGTTTTAGCTAAAATTATCTTTAAAAGCAGCCTGTTATATTTGGTCAACGAACTTGCCCTAAGGGCCAGACCAAGTGATTTTGCAGGCCTTATACTGCCCTTGGGCCAGACATTCCCACCCCTGCTTTAAGGAAAACAAGACACCAAACTTTCAGGCCAGCCATAGCTGGACCCCCAACCCGCATCTCCCCCAAAACCCCAAGCACTGGTTCACCTACCAGCTCACAGTTTGAAGAATCTACAAAGCCCCTTTCTCCATTTGAGGTGGTGAAGATGGCAATTTATTTTATTTTATTTTATTTTATTTTGTTTATCTTCAAATGTTCAAAGTAGGAAAACAAGGCTGCCCAGCTCTGACAGCCCAACAATGATCCTCAAGGGTTGCTCTTGGCCTCCAGCCCTGTCTGAGGGGAAAGGAAACCCCTGCAGCCCCATGGAAAGAGGCCCTGAGGATGGAATGGAAATGAACTTGGCTTCCCAGGAGCGGAGAGGCAGGTCCACCAGCAGGGCCCAGAGTGCATCTATTATAGCATTGGTACCGGCCCTTTCTGCGCTGGCGTACCCGGGGTAAGCACAGCTGCTTTGCCAGGGGACAGGGCACAAAGGAGGGACAGCGCTTAGGAGGCCGCCCTGGCACACCAGCCTTGGACCTTCACCAGACGCACCAGTGCTCTTCGAACTCTTCAGCTTTCCGACACCTGCTTTCCAACCAGAAAAAAGGTTTTAAAAAGTCTGTTAGAGGCCAGAGTGCTGCTGAGATGCCCTGAGCTGGAGGCCGGGCCCTCGTCCCAGCTCCTGGGCAGTGTATTGAGATAAAGTAGAAAGAAGCACACCCCTGCCCTGACACCCCCCTCCCCAGCCCGCCTCTACGGACACCCCACTTCCATCTGCTAGTACAACGGTGTGCGATGTTTTTCTCCCAGACTGGAGGACAGAAAGTCGCACTTTTTTATTTTTTTAATATATTTTATTGATTTTGTACAGAGAGGAAGTGAGAGAGATAGAGAGTTAGAAACATCGATGAGAGAGAGTCATCGATCAGCTGCCTCTTGCACACCCCCTACTGGGTATATGCCCGCAACTAAGGTACATGCCCTTGACCGGAATCGAACCCGGGTCCCTTCAGTCCCCAAGCCGACGCTCTATCCATTGAGCCAAACCGGTCTTGGCGAAAGTCGCACTTTTTAATTATCACCATTTTTTTGTGTGGAATAAGTGCTATATTTACATGCAAATTCAAGGATACCAAGAGCTCTGGGCAGTCTCCAGCATGACATACGGCCTCCCGGTCCCCGGGCCTCCATTCTTTTCCGCAGAGGGAGCAGTGTTGCCAGTTGGTTGGGTATCCTCCCAGGCACGCATCCATTCATGCATTCCGCAGCCTCTCTCAGAGCCGGACTGCTAGCACGTGCTCTGCCCTGGAGGACGAGGGACTCCATCATCCATCACCCGCAGCAGCGCTTCCTCTCGCCTCTCAGCAGGTGCCGCACAGGTGGCCCGTAGGCCTGGTGCTGCACAGGGTGATGGCCCACAGGTGGGTTATGCATGATGGCCCGCAGGCTGCACCGTGAGGCCTACCATGTGTTCAGACAGGGGCGATGCTGCTCCAGCTGTTGCAGACACTGCAGTGAATTTGCCTGAATGTGTGTAATTTTGCACATGTTTGAGTATGAAGCCCCTGTTCCAGCCTCACCATCCTGCGCGTCACCACACAGGTTGTGTTTGTCAGGGAGCCAGGTAAACGCAGTATTGCCATCAGGCAGATTCCATTTCTCTTACGAGTGAGGCTGAGGTTATTTTATATACTTCAGAGCAATTTACCTTTCCTTTCTTGTTAACTCCGTGTTCTGTCCTTGGTCCACTGTGCAATCAAGTTGTTTATTGTGTCCACAGTAAGGACAGTAACACACAACACCCTGCAGTGGTTATGAAGTGGAAAAGATGGATGTGCTTAGACTACTTGGCACCAGGTAAGTAAGTTCTAGGTAACAGCCTCCCCCTGAGCCCTGTCCCCCGGGGACCCTGAATGCTCTGATGAGATGCCCTCTCCCTGCCGCCTCATCCCTGCTTTTCGGAGCGTTACTGTGGCCCAGGACCCCACGGCATCCTCACACCAACACACAGCGGCTGCCCTGTTTGCACCCTTCCCCACTCACAACACCAGGCTCATGTCCCCCCCACATCTCCCTCCCCCACAGCCCCCACCTTGGAGTCCCAAACACCAAACAGCTCTGCACACTTCCCTGGCCCCACCTCCAGCCCTCCCACCCCAGGGAGCCCTTCCTCGGGGCCATCTGAGCCCAAGGGCTGTGGGCACGTCCCCTGGGCCCCACCTCATGCCCTGGGTCCTCACCACTGCTGCTGCTCCTCCCCTCATCCCTCCAGGGGGTGGGTGTGCCTGGCCCCCCAGTTCCCTAAACACCATTGGCCTCCCTCCTCCCAAAGCCTCCTCCACTGTGAGTGCCCCCCCACCCGACCAGAGCACGCCACTGTGTCTGTGATGGTCGTAGGTCTGGGCTCACTCTCCAGTGCCACTTCTGCCATGGTTCTTGGTGATGTCAGTCTCCATGGAGATAAGCTTTTCAGATCCTGGTGCTTTGACTTTCTCACCTCAGTGAGCTGTCCTTCATCCCCTGCGACGTCCACTCTCCCAGTCAGACCCCAGTCCTGTCATTACACCACCGCCACCCGCACCGTCTATGCCAGCCCTGTCCTCTACTCCCCACCTCCGTTTAAGCTCATACCTCTGGCACCCCAAGTTCAATGCTCCTATTGTACTGGGGCCTCTCCGACACCCCAAGTTCAATGCTCCTATAGCTCTGGGATCCACAGCATGTCCATTCAATCACCACTTCCGTCACCATTGCGCTGTCTTCACTGTTCCTGACCGGGTTCCAAGTCCACGATCCCATGTTGCAATCACTCCCTCGCACACATTCTCGCCTCCTTTGTGCGTTTCCTTTCTTTATTCGTTAGGAACAATCGGAGCCCTTGCTAGCCCAGCCCTCTGCCCAGTCCGTGCCAACATGACCACTCTGGTCCCTCTTCTCAATGGGGCCTCCCAGCACTGGCGGCGGCCACGGCTCCTGCCAGCCGCTCCCGGGCCCACCGAGCTCTCCTGGTCATGGAGCCGTCAGAGGGCACAGGATGTTTGTAGTTTCAGGAGAGAGACAATGGAAGCCTGTCGGAGAGAAGCCGGACAGGAAAAGTAACAGTGGAGAGGAGGAAGGCTGCTCCTTGCTGATAACATCACAAGTTTCCTGAAGGGGAGGCGATGGCTAAGGGGGTGTGGAGCTGTGTTACTCGGGGTGTGGAGCTGTATTACACAGGGTGTGGAGCTGTCCTCACACGGGGTGTGGAGCTGTGTTACACGGGGTGTGGAGCTGTATTACACGGGGTGTGGAGCTGTGTTACACGGGGTGTGGAGCTGTGTTACACGGGATGTGGAGCTGACCTCACACGGGGTGTGGAGTTGTGTTACATGGGGTGTGGAGCTGTGTTACACGGGGTGTGGAGCTGTGTTACACGGGGTGTGGAGCTGTGTTACACGGGGTGTGGAGCTGACCTTACACGGGATGTGGAGCTGTATTACACGGGGTGTGAAGCTGTGTTACACGGGATGTGGAGCTGACCTCACACGGGGTGTGGAGTTGTGTTACACAGGGTGTGGAGCTGTGTTACACGGGGTGTGGAGCTGTGTTACACGGGGTGTGGAGCTGTCCTCACACGGGGTGTGGAGCTGTGTTACACGGGGTGTGGAGCTGTGTTACACGGGGTGTGGAGCTGTGTTACACGGGGTGTGGAGCTGTATTACACGGGGTGTGGAGCTGTATTACACGGGGTGTGGAGCTGTGTTACACGGGGTGTGGAGCTGTGTTACACGGGGTGTGGAGTTGTATTACACGGGGTGTGGAGCTGTGTTACACGGGGTGTGGAGCTGTATTACACGGGGTGTGGAGCTGTGTTACACGGGGTGTGGAGCTGTGTTACACGGGGTGTGGAGCTGTGTTACACGGGGTGTGGAGCTGTGTTACACGGGGTGTGGAGCTGTCCTCACACGGGGTGTGGAGCTGTGTTACACGGGGTGTGGAGCTGTATTACACGGGGTGTGGAGCTGTGTTACACGGGGTGTGGAGCTGTCCTCACACGGGGTGTGGAGCTGTGTTACACGGGGTGTGGAGCTGTGTTACACGGGGTGTGGAGCTGTGTTACACGGGGTGTGGAGCTGTCCTCACACGGGGTGTGGAGCTGTGTTACACGGGGTGTGGAGCTGTCCTCACACGGGGTGTGGAGCTGTATTACACGGGGTGTGGAGCTGTGTTACACGGGGTGTGGAGCTGTGTTACACGGGGTGTGGAGCTGTGTTACTCGGGGTGTGGAGCTGTCCTCACACGGGGTGTGGAGCTGTGTTACACGGGGTGTGGAGCTGTATTACACGGGGTGTGGAGCTGTATTACACGGGGTGTGGAGCTGTATTACACGGGGTGTGGAGCTGTATTACACGGGGTGTGGAGCTGTATTACACGGGGTGTGGAGCTGTGTTACACGGGGTGTGGAGCTGTGTTACACGGGGTGTGGAGCTGTCCTCACACGGGGTGTGGAGCTGTGTTACACGGGGTGTGGAGCTATGTTACACGGGGTGTGGAGCTGTGTTACTCGGGGTGTGGAGCTGTCCTCACACGGGGTGTGGAGCTGTCCTCACACGGGGTGTGGAGCTGTGTTACACGGGGTGTGGAGCTATGTTACACGGGGTGTGGAGCTGTGTTACACGGGGTGTGGAGCTGTGTTACACGGGATGTGGAGCTGTCCTCACACGGGGTGTGGAGCTGTGTTACACGGGGTGTGGAGCTGTATTACACGGGGTGTGGACCTGTGTTACACGGGGTGTGGAGCTGTGTTACACGGGGTGTGGAGCTGTGTTACACGGGGTGTGGAGCTGTGTTACACGGGGTGTGGAGCTGTGTTACTTGGGGTGTGGAGCTGACCTCACACGGGGTGTGGAGCTGTGTTACACGGGGTGTGGAGCTGTCCTCATACGGGGTGTTGAGCTGTTCTTACATGGGGTGTGGAGCTGTATTTAAGCAACAGACACTTATTTGGGGTCTGAGGCTCTCTCTCTCTCTCTCTCTCTCTGAAAGAAGAAGTTTTAAAATAAAGCCCAGGACTTAAGTAGACCTCACTTTGGGCTTCAGTTCTGCCACTTCCCTGCTGCCTGACCCTGAGCCTCAGTTTCTTTGTCTGTAAACTGGGCTCGCGTGACCAGCTGGCTGGGAGTGTGGGCCTGAGGGTTACAATGGGTCGTGTCTGAGTATGCTCCCTAAAGCTCAGCCCTTCCCCTGGCCCCTGGTGACAGAGCGTGGGTACAGAGAAACCCCACTGGCTGTGACTCACCGAGGCTGATTTTTCTAGAAAGTTGCTCAATTCGTGTTTCAGCCGGTTCTTTGAAGCCCCCCTGGATGCGGGGGCGACGCGGCGCTGAGCGCACCTCTCAGCTCCTGCTCGGAGGCGGCTGCACGAGCTCCTTCATTTTGGAGCGAGATGAAACGATGCCGTTGGTACAGGGAGCCGTCTCTCCGGGCAGCCACGGGGAACTCAGATTGCCCGGGGGGAGGGCGGGCGCCCCGCGGAGGAGCCCGGTGTCTCTGCAGGAGCCACTTCCAATGATGCTGATGCCACCTTCTGCCCAGGTGCCTGAGCTCTGGCTCTGCTCCCTGGAGGTCCGCGTGTCTCAGTGCTCCTCGCGGATCGGGGCGGCTCCTCCCCTTGGCGGGAGGCTAGGCGGACAGGTGCCTGTCAAGGCCCTGGGAATGTGGGGGTGAGAATTCAGGTGGAGACAGACAGGCTTGTCTCTCTTCATTCAGAAAAAGAGATGATCGTCACGCTGAGTAAGCCAGGCTCCCTGAGGACTTCCCACAGCGGATGCCGTGCCTGGTTTTAGAGGAAAAGGGGGTGCAGGGGGGTTTGTGTGGAGCCTGTGGAGGGAGATTTCTGTGGCCGTGGCCCTCCCTGCTCGTCTGCACCTGCCGGGCTGGGCTCTGCTCACCTCAGCCCAGGTCTCCTCCCCCCGAACCCCATCCCACCGCCGGGGTCCTCGCCCCCTGCTCCTCCCCCAGGCCCTGCTTCCCCTTCCTGGGACTGCTGTTCCGGCCCATAGCAACGGTTGTTGCTATGATTCTTATTTATCGCTAATCAAGCTCATCTTGTTTTCAAAAGGACTGAGATGGACTCCAAAAATACATGAAAGGTTAAAACGAAGTACAGCAGCCCCCCTCCCGGTCCAGTTCCACTTCCCGGGGACTGGACTCAGGGCCCTGAGGCCCAGAAATATTAAAGGGAGGTCCCGAAATAAGCAACGGACACGGGCGTGGAGCAGAGCGTGCAATCTCCCGAGTCCCACTCGGTCCCGCCAGGACCCAGCTCCTCCCCGGCCGCATCCCTGCTCCAGGCGCCCCGCCCGCGGGCCTGAGGGGCCTCCGGCCTCCACTGGATGGGTGCGGCCTCGCAGGCTGTGCTTACGGCACCCGACGTCACTGCTGGCAGCTCCCTGTGCCCAGGAGAAGCTGGAAGTGCTCGTCACCCGCGTCCCGTCAGCAGCCGCCTGACCTCACTGACCCACGTCGCTCGCCACCCTTCTGTGGGCACCTGGGTTTAATGTCACATGGACACTCACCAGAACTGTTAATGTTCAAAGCTGACCTGGTTACCCAGCTCCACTGGCTTTTCACGGTCTTCCTCAAACCCCCATTTTCCCGTAAGTCCATTGCTTTAGCTTGTTTGCAGAACGCAGGTATAGTGTTACATCTGTTGGGTAATAACCACCACGTACACATTTAAAATAAACAAACAGCCCTAGCTGGTTTGGCTCAGTGGATAGAGCATCGGCCTGCAGACTGGAGGATCCCAGGTTCAATTCCAGCCAAGGGCAAATGCCCAGGCTGCAGGCTCAGTCCTCAGTAGGGGGCATGCAGAAGGCAGCCAATCAATGATCTCTTATCATTGATGTTTCCATCTTTCTATCCTTCTCCCTTCTTCTCTGAAATCAATAAAGAAATATTTAAAATAAAACTCCCTTACTCTGCCTCCACTCCTGCCTTGTCCCCTCTCAGCGCCCTCTGCGTCCACAGGCCGAGAGGGAAGGTGGCAGCAGCTTCAGACAGAGCTGACTCGGGGTCATATTCTGAGACCGACCCGCTGTTGACTCTGTGACTCACTCCCTGAGCCTGCGCTTCCCCGTGTGTGACGCCAGGAAGGTGGAAAGGCCTTTCTGGAAGCCGGTCAGAGGACAGGGACCCCGGGGAACACGCTGTCACAGCGGCGGGCGTCCGGGGAGTGGCCTCCCCGGGAACAGCGCCCCCATGGGGACCAGGCGTCACCTGTGCAGGTGCCCAGGGCCAACCAGAACCTCCAGGGCGGGCCAAAGCCAGAGAGCCTATCAGAATGCCCACAGGTGACGCCTGGTTCCATTGCTGAGAGATGAGGGTCCCAGCCATCCTTCCTGGTTCTGGCTCACCCCCTGGGTGGGAATGCCAGGGTCAGGGCCGGAAAGTTGGGCCTGCTTGACAGCTGGAAATACCCAAATGGAATTCAGTGCCTGTTCAATGTGCTCTGAATCACTGAAATGGGCACAATAACAGCCCGGTCACAGGCGCAGATTCTGAGATGCCCCTGGAGCGTGCTCAGAGCGGCGGCTGCGCAGAGCAGCTCCCGGAGCAATGCTGTTGGGTTGTACTCAGGCTCTCTGAGTCGGCTCCTGTGACTCTGCCTTGGAAAGCCAACGCTGTTCGGCGTACACAGACGCCACTGAAGGGAGACCCGCAGAGCAGCTTGGTTAGCTGAGCACATCGCCTGAGGTTGTCTGAGTGCCTGTCGGTGCCTGGCAGTGCCCAGCAGTGCTCCCTCAGCCAGCGCAGCCCTAAGCACCAGCGGGCTACAAACCATTGGACCATCTGCAGGAAACCACACAATGGGAAGGAGTGCTGGGCCGCCCGCCGAGGAGTCTATTGCGGGACTAACTTTGATCGTAAGAGAACCTGCAACCATCTCATTCCCATTGAGCTTCTGGGTTCAAATAAACTCGGCAGAAGATGGTAGTCTTACCACCTGATAGTGTGGTTTGAGACCCAAGCAAGGAACAGACCCACACGGGGCGGGGGGGGGGGGGGGGGGGGGGGGTCAGTACCAGTCCTTTCACTTGTAAAACTCATTTTTTTTTTTTCAAAGACGGCCCTAATGCCACCTCCTCTTTGTAGCTGCCTCAGCCCCCTCGGGCTGAGCGACTCAGTCCGCTGCCTGCCGGAGGCCACGCTCCCATCTCAGAGCCGGGGCCTGTGTCACCTCCCTGCGATCGCAGCTCCTGTGGACTCGGTGCGACCTCCATGACCCGCGGCCACAGAGCCCTCACGGGGAAGGAGCCACACGGTCGCCGTGGATTGATCAGTGGGTTCCCATCCCTCCCCCCCCCCCCCCAAGCCAGAGCCAAGGCACTGAACGTTCAGGGTCCTTCCAGAGCAGAGACGCGCCTGCCGGCCGGACCCACACACGCTGGCAGAGCCTGGCCCCACCTGGCAGAGGGCACCTCAGAGCATCAGGAGGACTGGGAGAGGGCCGTGGGCATCTGCAGAAGTGGCGCCAAACATTATTCATTCAACAAACATCCACCAAGGGTCACCAGGTGCCAGGCCACAGGTAAGGTCCGAGGCTGAAACCGGCCGTGGCAGTGAGTACCTGTGACAGGTGCTGGGACGGAGGGCACGGGGACCACGGGAAGGGAATGGACAGGACCTTGAACGTGAGGCAGCAGCTGCCTGGAGCGAGCACCGGGGAAGAGGCTCTCTGCTCTGCTCCTCTCCGACGGCTGAGGCACGAGGCGGCTTCTTCCCGCGCTCCGACTCCCAGGCCTACGTGCTCCCCACCTGTGGTCCTATCGGGGCAACACACGCAGCCCCAGAACCTGGCCCTCTGCTCCTCCTGCCTGACCGTCACCAAGGAAACAGAAGAGGCTGCAGGAGGTGGGCACAGATGCACAGACACAAGCTCTACCCTCGTGAGAACCAAACCCACACCAAAATTCACACCAAAACCCACATCAAAATCCAAACCAAAATCCACATCAAAATCCACACCAAAACCCACACCAAAATTCACACCAAAATCCACACCAAAACCCACACCAAAATTCACACCAAAATCCACACCAAAATCCACACCAAAACCCACACCAAAACCCACACCAAAATTCACACCAAAATCCACACCAAAACCCACACCAAAATCTACTGACTTGATCATTGTTGACAGCATTTTGAATGAAGCAAAGAACTTAACAAAATATATGAAAGATCTATTTTTAAATCACAAATGAACAGCAGATTTTCAAAGTTGCTTTTCTGATCAACCAGAAAAGACCATGTTTATTTCAGAGTAAACAGCATTAGGGTGAGACTGGCCACCGCCACGAGGCCGGGCGGCCACGCTGCTGGCTCCAGGAAGGACAGCCACCGGCGGGCGTGGGAGGGCCCAGCGGCCCAGCAGCGCCAGCCGGGCCCGGAGCTGCTGGGCAGGGCAGGGTGGGGAAGGGCAGCAGGGTGGACAGGTCAGTGACCCGGGCCTTCAGAGGCGTCGCCGTGACGTGTGACTCCTGCTCTGCAAACAGGCCCCGCCCGTGTGCTCACTCACAGCAGCGCATCGTAGTTCACCGAACCAGCAAGGCTGGTGCACGTCCTCTGTGTCCACAGCCCGCCAGGGGGAGCGGAGGGGAAGGCCGGCTGGCAGGCAGGGTGGAGCCAGCCCTGCTGGGAGCACAGACCTCGCAGGGAGAGACTGTGTGCGGGCCGGGGTGCGGGCACACCGGGGCAGGCTATGGAATCAGGGTGCCAGCAGCCTGGGCACAGCTGGGAGGCTGAGAGCAGAGATGGGCACCGCGTGGGCAGCCGTGCGGGCGGGGTAGGGGCTGGGGTGGCCCTTGCAGGAGTGTCTGAGGTGCAGGGAACCTGCGGGTGACGAGGCTGGAAGGGGTGCTCACGGCCAGGCCAGGGCCCCAAGGCTGGGGTGTACAGGTAAGCTGGATAAATAATGGGGGGGGCCCAAGCATGGGGTGTGCACATAAGCTGGATAAATAATGGGGGGCCTGGAACACGGGTGTACATGTAAGCTGGGTAAATAATGGGGGGCCTGGAACACGGGTGTACACGGGAGCTGGGTAAATAATGGGGGGCCTGGAACACGGGTGTACACGGGAGCTGGGTAAATAATAGGGGTCCTTGGTGTGTGCACCTGTTTGTTCATTCATTCAACTAAAATGTGCTGCCTGCGAACCTCAGCCCAGCGCAGCCTGGTCCCGGGAGCCGGGAGCCGGGGGCCGGGAGGGAGCCGGGGGTGGGCGTTGGGAGGGTCACTTGGCAGGTGGCATCGGCTCACCAGGCTCAGCCAGGGCCTCTGGCCGACATGGGAGGAGGCCCCTTCAGTGCTGGGGGTGGGGGTCAGGAAAGCGGCCGGAGCAGAGGGGGCAGCATGGTCAGGGGATTGGCCTGGAGTCATCCTCCTCTTCGCGCCCTCTGGGAAGTTCCCGCAGCTGCTCCGGAGGCTCCCGGTAGATGGACCGATTCCTGAGGCCGTGAGGACAGAGGGAAGGTGTGCCGAGAGCCGGCGCTGCCCTCAGGGCCCACAGCCCACCCAGCGCACCCTGGCTGCAGGGCGTTCAGAGAGGACGGGAGCTGAGGGACCCGCAGGGACCAAGAGCTGGGACACACCTGCCCGCCCTGCCCAGACCCGTGCCCCCGGCCCCACACTCACGGCCTGGGCTCCGGGTCCTCGCCCTTGTCCCGGCAGCAGCAGCAATAGACCAGGACGCCGATGACGATGAGGACCGCCACCACGCCGCCCGCGATGCCCGCGTACAGCGCCACGTTCATGGAGGCTGAGGGACAGAGAGCTGGCGGGCTGAGCACCGGGAAGCCCCGGCCGGGCCCCGGTCTCTCCCTCCCCGCATCCCAGCTCCCCACCCTGTCCTCCAGCCCAGGGAGCGGCCTGGGGCACCAGAAGGCCTGGGCTGGGGGGAGCGCCAGGAGGGCTGAGCGTGCTCTTCTGCCCGGAGCCGTGGACAGGACAAGGCCGGCGGCCCTGCTCTGTGCCCCCGCCTCCCCGTGCTCCCTGGGCCGGAGCGTCCTCAGGTCAGCCAGGCGTCCTCTGGCTTCCCCTGAGCTGGGAGGGGCCCGCCCCGAAGGATGCTCTGGCACCACTGTCCTGGGTGCTGTCGCCAAAGAAGCAAGGGAGCTGGACTGGCCTCCAGGCAGTGGGCTCACAGGGTGTCTTGCTGGTCCCCCACCAGGCCACCCTGCCACCCAGCCACCAGCCCACCAGCCCACCCGCCCACCTGCCCACCCGGCCACCCGGCCACCGGGCCACCCCGCCCACCCAGCCACCCGCCCACCCGCCCACCCGGCCAGCGGCACCTCTCCTCCCTGCCCGCCCCCACATGCGGCTCTTACGAGGCCTGACGGTCAGGGTGATGTTGCAGGACTCGGTCCCCACCTCGTTGCTGGAGGTGCAGACATAGTAGCCGGACATGTCCGTGGAGATGTTCCTCAGAGTCAGGGCGTGCCCCGCGCCTGGGAGGGAAGACGGGGGTGAGAGGGCACCAGGCGGAGGGGAAAGCGGGCGCAGCTGCTGGGCCGGGCTCCCTGGGGCCTGGAGACGCCCCCCATGCAGGACGGGCTGCGGGAAGCGAGCTGCTTACTCCCCGTGTGACTTCGGGCACCTAACAGCGTTGCTGCGCCCGGTGTCTTTATTTCTGACAGAGATGGTGCTGGTGCCTGCCTCCCGGGACACTGTGGGCATCAGACGAGGCCCCGTCCCTCAGGCCCACAGCAGAAGGCCCGACTGGCGGGGACTCCGGACACACCCCATACACACGCACATGGAATTCTGATTAGGGGTCACTATGACCCCTCCATGACCTTCAGAAATGAAAACCTGTAGCTGGGACGCATGTGGAGGAAGCTTTAGAAATCAGTGTGTGAGCACATGTGAGTGTGTGTATATGCATGTATATGTGAGTGTGAATATGTGAGTGTGTGTGGTGTGTGTGTGTATATGTGTGTGTGGTATGTGAGTGTATGTGATGTGTTAGTGTGTATGTGTATACGTGGGTGTAGTGGTGTGTGAATGTGTGTGTGTGTGAGTGTATATGTGAATGTGTATGGTGTGCGTGTATATGAGTGTGTGTGTATATGTAACTGTGAGTGGTATGTGTGTATATGTGAGTGTGTGTATGCAGTGTATTAGTGTGCATGTGTATATGTGAGTTGAGTGGTATGCGAGTGTGTATATGTGTGTGGTGTGTATGTATATGAATGTATGTGTGTGTGAGTGTGTGTGGTATGTGAGTGTATATGGTGTGTTAGTGTGTATGTGTATATGTGAGTGTATTATGTGAGAGTGTATATGTGAGAATGTATGTGTGTATATGTGAGTATATATGTGAGTGTATATGTGAGAGTGCATATGTGAGTGTGTATATGTGAGTGTGTATATGTGAATGTGTATAAGTGAGTGTGTATAAGTGAGTGTGTATATCTGGGAGGAGGGTGGGGAGGCAGCTGTCTGTCTCGACTCTTCACTGTCCACCATGTTCATGGCCATTTAACTGTGGGAGCCGCAGCTCTGAGTCAGGGGGAGTGCTACCCAGCCCTCCTGAACACAGGGGATGGCCCGAATGTCCTCACGGCGACCTTCCTGTGAGTCCCCGGCCTGTGGTGTGTGCCCGTGGAAGGAGAGGGGTGTCCACGTATTTGCATGTCCTGTGCTCTGAGGCGCTCTGCTGTGACCGCAGTTTTGAGAGGAGGGTTAGGAGGCCTTTGTTCTCCCTCCGGTGGCAGAACAAGCCTGTGCGGCCCCGCTGCTCCGCCCTGAGGGGACAGCCGACATGCAAACAGCACTGGCCACCGCCCGTCAGACATCCAGGGCCGCCATGGTCTCCAGGGACCAGTCCAGGCTCCTCAGCGTGGTCCCCGGGCTGGGTCTGGGCCTGGTCCTGCCTGCAGCCAGCCTCCCGCCCACTCCGCTCTCGCAAGGTGGCACCCCAGCTTCCTGGGCATGAGGTCCCTGCTGCTTCCCACACCCCCCGACAGAGGCGAGGGACGCGCCCGCCCACCCGAGGTCACAAACCAAGAAGTGGGAGGCGATAACGCGCATCCTGGTTAGGCCCGAGCAAGGCCCGCGCGAGGCCCCATTCCCCAGGGAGACAGCGCGCCGGGCGGCAGGGAGCGGAGCTCCGTGTGCTGTGGGGTTTGTAGAGGGAATGTGACCGCCGCCCGCCGGGTCCGGGGCTCCCTGAGGAGCAGAGTCGAATGACAGCGCCTGCTCCCACAGCCAGAGCGGCAGCTGGCGTCCCTGGCGCTCCTTCCTGAAGCCCAGGGCCTCAGCCTCCGGGCATAAGGTCCCTGGATTGTGGTCACAAGCGATGCTCATAAACTGAAGAGTCCAAGACCAGAACGGGTTTGGAAATCAGCGTTAAGGGTTAAATTAATCACATTTTTTAATGACAGAACTCTCAGAGCTTCTGATATGCTAATGAGCACTGGGTGGTGAGGGTGTAATGGTCTCGTTTTCTAAATAATGGGACTTTTAAAAGGGGGCGACTTGAGGAACCCACTTTGGGAAATGCTCTCGGACCTGGGCACACGTCCAGGTGAGTCAGGTTCCCTGCCGGAGCCGCTGAGCTGGGCCCGCGCTCAGGTGCATGGCCCAAGGATGGAGGGATGGCTTGTTTAGCAGGGACCGGGGCTTCCTACCGGAGTCAGCACCATCCTCCCGGTTCCTAAGCAAACAGCGGGCATGGACGGCTGCCCGGTGCATACGGGGCCCAAGACCTGCTCTGATCCCAGGGGGGCTCCCAAACCCCCTTTTTGGAAAGCACCTGATGGGTCTGAAGCTGTTTCTGCTGCAATGGTGACACCTTGTGGTCAAGATGGAAAACGCACAGGACAGCAGCTCCCACCTTCCCTCTGCTCCACGGAGCAGCCTGGTCTCCAGGCACTGAAGTCAGTTGACAAGAGCTAACTTTCCTCGTCTGCAGCTTGGCTGCTGCCTCTGTCCTCCATGATCTTCCCTGGCTGCTGGGAGAAGGGTCCATGCCCTCCTCTCTGAACCTCCTCCCTGTATGCTCCAGCCCCAGTACCACCCTCCCTCTCCCCCTCCCTCCCTTTATCTCTCCCGCATATCAAATTCCCGCTCCTTTCTGCTTTACAGAGGATGCTCAGAGGTATCCCACCCGGGATCTCCTTATCCTCCTCACGGCATTCAGGGGGAGGGGGGCTAGAACAAGGCCGTGGGGGACTTACAGCCCATGGAGACCCCGGGCCCTGTGTGCTGATCTGATTCCCTGCTCTCCCTGCTGGCTGCCCCCCCGCCCCCTGCTCAGCCAAAGGAAGCCCCTCTAATGGGGGGCCTCTGTCTTCCGGGAGGGGGAGCCCTGCTCCGTTGTCCACTGTGGACCGAGATGCTTCAGTGAGAAACAGGTCTGGTCTGGCCCCGCAGGAAGCAGTCGGGACATCTCTCTGCGGCTCTGAGGCAGGAATGCCACCCACCGCCCACGGCACCAGGGGCTCCTGTGGGCATTCCCGCTGGCCCACTCTCTCCTGCCCCCCAGGTCCCGAGTCTGACCAGGATGAGCTTCTCAAAAGCAGGCAAGTGCATCTCCTGAACCTGCCCCGTGTCCTCGGGGTCTCCCTCTGGGGTCCCTGAAGAATGAGGAAGCGTCAGCTTCTGACAATGGGGACCTTTTCTGCTGGTGGAAGTATTACTGTGAATGGGGTGCCCTCCTGGGGCGCCCCAGCAGGAGCAGGTGGCCTCAGGCCCAGGCAGCTCCCCTCCTGGGGCACGGGCTCCCTCCCGAGCACGCTCCCGGCTACTCGCCTCCCTCACGGCCGGTGCCCTGCGGCCTGGCCCACAGCAGCGCCAGGTGCCCACTATCTGCTGGCACCCCATGCCACCATGCTCTTATGCACCCTCCACAGCAGCCTGTGTGGTAAACAAGAACAACCGGGTGTATGCAGACACTGCAGCACAGAGAGGCCAGGTCACACAGCGTCCGTGCTGTCAGCCAAGCTCTGTGCTGCCCGCTCCAGTGCCCTCCTCGGGACCCGCTGTGACCCTCTGTGCCCGTCACAGTGCCTCTGGCTGTAAAGCTCGCAGCACCAGACCCGCTGCCACACTGTGCTGCCGGACGGACAGACCGAGCGGTGGCCATGGCATCAGACTTCTCCAGACACCGCCTAGCCTGCGCGTGCCTACTCCGCGCACCTCCCCACGCACATGC